AAAAAAAAAAAAAAAGAGACAAAAAAAAGGCAAAAAGAGAAGCGAAGTGTCCTCTGACCTGAATGCTGGTTCTTGGGCAATTATGAGAATATAAAGTAACAGAGTGTGCCACTATTGTTGATGAAAGTAAGTCTCGGTTTTTGTCGATGATGATAATGTTGCTAAATGAAATTTGAGGAGATATGCAAATGCAATAAATTGAAATACATATAACAAGAAAAGCAAATACAGTCTCAAGTCTTTTTCCCACACAATTTCAAAGACAACATTACACAGATAATAAAGAAACAAACATTTCCAGTTTTCCACTTAAAATTGGACATATTTAAACACACAACACACACAGCAAAAGAAAAACAAAGATTATATTACATTGAAAACCCAATAGCAACAGCAACTAGTGCATATGTGATTTAATCCAACTTTCTTGTGGTTACCGAGCCAAATCCCAATTGCTGCTAATGGGGGAGAAAAGAATAGATGAGAGAGGGAGAGATTTATTAAGAATGGAAAACTCATCCTGAGTTTAATCAGAAATGGAAAATTGAAGATTAAAAGGCTTACATTTGCGGTGCGCCCTACCCCCATGTCAGCTGAAATTTACAGAAGGGGAAAAGGATGTCTTTTGCATTGGGATGGTCCCATTCCAATGATTCCCACAATTCTTTTGGGAATACAGCAATTTCTTTGAGGGAAGGAGGATGAGATGATTGGGCATTATCAAGCAAGGGAAAATTCAGAGGAATCCTCTTTAGGTTCTCACAGCCGAAAATCTTCAGACTCTGGATGGAATCACAAATCAACACACTGGAGCTGCTGCAAATGCTCTTCAATGAGGGCAAACTTGTCAATTCCAACCTTTCTAACTTGGGTAGAGTGACTTTTTCTTCTTCATGTGCCGATGATGATATCAACTCCTCCATTTGCGAACACCATGAAACCTCAATAGTCTCTAGAGATTGGAAGTAGTGGAGCAGCCATCCAGATGAGAATACCTTCTTTAATTGCTTACACCTAGAAACCCTAATTTCTTTAAGAGAGAAAAAGCTTGTGGGAGGTACATGTGGCGATAAACCAAGACCTTCTTCATCAAACACAGATTTCAGATGCGGTAAACTGATAAGTTCCAGATATTCAAGATTTGGAAATGGGTTGAAGCCAGACCAAAAAACACTCTCTATATTTTCACAATCAGAAATTTCAATCTTCTTGATGGAATCACAAATCAAAGAACCGCTATAGATGGTCTTCAATAAGGGCAAACTTGTCAATTTCAACCTTTCTAAGTTGGGTAGAGTGACTTTTTCTCCTTCTTTAGATTCAGACCCTATTATCTCCTTCAGTTGTTTACAATTAAGAATCTCGATATACTGTAGTTTCTGGAGATATCTCAACCACCTTACCGAGCATAACTTCTTTATTTTATTACAATGCCGAACACTAATATCTTGAAGAGAGGAAAATGTGCCAGCTGGTAGCGATGCTAACTTAGCAATTGCTCCTACTTCCCCAAACACCATATTCAAGTTATGCAAAGAATCAAGATACAGCCTCTCAAGGTTTTGAAGCTTCCCCCAAATTCCAATCGTCTCCCATTTAAATTCTGTTTTGCTAAGGGAATCGGCAACTACTAGTAAATGCTGAAGTTTGGAGAGATTTTGTAGCGGTTCATCAAGTGTTTCAGATAATCTTCCACCAAGACCAAGATATTTTAGATTTGTTAACATGTTGAGGCCTTGCGGTAGTTCTTCAATGGATGTCCAGCAAAGGTCTAACTTCTTTAACCCTACAAGGTTGGATAATGCTGGTACCTCTCTTAAGGAACTACAGTTAAATAGCAATAATGTAGTAAGCTTCTCCAATTTGGAGATAGAACTCGGCAGCCTACATAGCTGACGATTCCAGGAAAGATCAAGGATCTTGAGCCCAAGCATATGCTCAAAAAAGGCTTCTGGAATTGTTGAAATCTTATTTCCGAACAACAGCAAGGTTGTGAGCATAGGACACTTTGGAGACGGCATGCTTGAAGGAATTTCTGTTATGTGATTCCTCATTAAAGAAACCTTCAAAAGATTTTCTCTCCATTCATGCTCCTCTGGTAACTTCTCCAAGGCTATGCTGGCTTTCACCAAGAATTGAGGACTGATTTCCAGTGCCATTTCTCGGAGAAGATCATGCATACTCACATATTCTTCTTTGTACATCCTTTCACCCGATTCCAACAAGCAGTTGTCAACTAGCTTATCGAGTATATCATGACCCTTCCAATTCATTGCCTCCCTAGTTTTCCCTTCTTTATATATAAGCCCCTCCTCAATCCAATACTCAATTAACTTCTCCTTGCTGATTTCATAATCTTCAGGATACAATGCACAACATAAAAAACACTCCTGGCATTGTTGTTCTAGGCATTCATAACTGAATTTCAAACAATCAATAATGCCTTCAAATTTATTAAATTCAGAAAGTGCCAACTTCCAATGACGAGGAAG